TGCTGGAGGGCAGTTCCAGGGAGGACGCAGTGTGGTGATGCCGTGTGGTGATGCCGTGTGGTAATTACTACTTCTGATCAAATTTATATAGTTTTCAGATAATTGGTGAGTAGCTGTGAGTTCGTTGAAGACTTTGAGCATTAAATCCCCTCTGTCAGGTGCTCCTGCATGGCTGAAATGCCAAGAGCTGAAGTGCTGTACCTGCAGAGTCTGTGCCTTCTGGGGAAACAACAGTGTCCTTTCAAGGGATCCTAAGCATTTGATTCTTTTGTTTGTTTTGAGACTGAGTCTTACTTTGTAACATTGGCTGGGCTGGAACTCTTGAGTGTGGGGTTAAAGGTGTGGGCCACCACACCCAGTAGGATCCTAAGGACTGGAAAGAAAAAAGGAAGCCAGGCCGCCTGGACAGGGGCCAAAGCAGTTTAAAGCAGATGTGAGCCTGGAGCTTTGCTGCTGGTCACAGGCACTTGCTCTTGTTTTGACAGGAAGTGAGCAATTTGAGGCCGCACCAGGCCAGCAAACCATGACCCAGGGGCCAGATGTGGCCCACTGCTGCTTTCCCATGGCCTATGAACTACAATGGTTGAAAAACCCCAAAGAATATTATTTTTTATTTCATTTTATCTTTTTCTTTGAGGCACTCTCAGGAACCACCTTACCATGGTGTTAGGGATTTTTTTTTTTTTTTTTTTTTTTTTTTTTTAAATGTTTAAGTTTTTGTTAGGGTTTTCTTTTCTTTTTTTTTCTTTTTTGGTTTTTTTGAGACAGGGTGTCCCTGTAGCCCCAACTGGCCTGGTACTCACTTTGTAGACCAGCTTTGAACTCACTGAGATCTGCCTCTGCCTCTGCTTCCTGAGTGCTGGGACTAAAGGCGAGCGCCACCAGGCCTGGCCTGTTTGGGTTTTCATTTCTGTCAGTAGCAGATTGCCATAATTATTGGTAGACACAGAACAACTTGCTTTTCTTTTCCTTTTCTTCAGCTGTTCTTACTCAGTAGCCTAGGCTGGCCGCATGGGATCCTCTAGCCTCAGCTTGGGGTTACAAGTATAACACCATGCCCAGGATAGGTCTCTACCATGCCTACAAGTTCGCTGCAAGTGGGTGTCTTGGGACTTGAGCTTTTGCTCTTCCCTCTTGTGGATTTCCAGATGTCAGCTGAGAAACTTTTTTCTCTCTCTAGACAGGGTCTCACTATGTAGTCCTGGCCAACCTCAGAATACTGTTTTTTGTGTGATGTTATATTGAATTAAATTTCGGTGTCCACAAATAAAGCTCTATTGGAACACAGCTATGTTTAGTCATCTCTGATGTCTGATTTACACTTCTGCACAAAGCTGAGAGCTGCAGCTGGGACCATACGACTGGCAAGGCCCCAAATAGAAAAAGAGTTTGCTGACCCCTCCTTGGCCTGTCTGACTTCCCTTCAGTTCCACTCCTATGCTTTTAGCATTTCGTCTTGTGAAATAATCTTCTTTGAAATAAAAGATATTTTATTTATGTTTATTTTATATGTATGAGTATATTGCAGATATGTAAGTGCACCTATGCCATGTAATGCCTGTGGAGGTCAGAAAAGGACCTCAGATCTCCTGAAACTGGAGGTATGGACTGTTGTTAGCCGCCATGTGGGTGCTGGGAATTGAACCTGGGTCCTCTGTGAGAGCAGCTTGTACTCTTAACCGCTGAGCCATCTCTCCAGCTCCCTCCCCTGCTACTTTTTTGAGAAGCTTGGCATTTGATATGCAGTGGCAGTGCTGGGCTGGGGATGTAGTTCAGTGATAGAGCACTTGCATAGCATGTATGACGCCCTGGGTTTGATTCTGTAGCATCACCAACCCCCCCCCCCCAAGTTCAAAGCAGAAACAGCCCAGTGTGGATCTCTAAATATCCCTAAACTATTTTTTACATTAGGTGATTGTGAATCTTAATGAGAGCCACAGTTCACAGAGTGGATTTCAGACCTCTCAGTGTTCCTGAGGTCTTGCAAGGATCCACAAGGCAAAAGCTGTTTTAATAATACTACATTCAGGGGCTGGAGAGATGGCTCAGCGTTTAAGAGCACTGACTGCTCTTGCAGAGGACCCAGGTTTGATTCCCAGCACCCACATGGCGGCTACGAACTGTCCTTAACTCCAGTTCCAGGGGAATCCGAAGCTCTCTTCTGACCTCCGTGGCATTGCTCGGCAAGGGTGCACTCACATACATGCAGGCAATACACTCATACACATAAAATAAAAGTAATAAATAAAATATATAAAAAAATACTACATTCATCTGGACTGTTTTCCACCCTGCTGACATTTGCACAGAATGTCACACTCTAAGGCAGTGAGGATCAAGCTGCTGGAGACTGTGACACCAAACTCAGAGTTGCCACTGCCAGTGTGCGTGTTGAGACCCACACCAGCTCCGAGTGCCCCTCTAACAGGGAGAACTGTGCCTTGTCTGGGGAGGAGTACACAGAGCTCTGCCCAGCCACCATACTTGTCCTGAGGGAGCTGCTCTCTTTACAGGCACTATTTTGCTGGATCCATAACTGACAAACGTTGTCACTCAGACTTGGGCTTTTATACTTTTTTTTTTTTAAATTAAATTTTTTAATTTTATGTGTATGTGTGTATTGCCTGCATGTAGGTAAGTTCACTTGTGTCATGCAATGCCTGCAGAGGTCAGAAGAGACTGTCGTATTCCCTGGGATGGACAGTTGCTAGTGGCCATGTGGGTGCTGGGATTCGAACCCGGGTCTTCTGCAAGAACAACCAGTATTCTTAACTGCTGAGCCATCTCTCCAGCCCCATCTTTTTTATACTTTTTTCTTGAAATGAAAGCTGAGTCTTTGGGGGAACACCGCTCATAATCTTTGTTGCTAATGAAACAGTTTTTTACCCCAAATTAGGATTTTTACATAATTTTTCCCTGTCACTTTGAGTTTGACAGTTTTCTAATACTTAGACAATTGGTGATCAAGTTGGTGCTGATATTAACAAATGTGATTTTTATATCACAGTAATGAAACATGAAGTCAATATTTGGAAAAAATCTGTGTCCGTCAGGGAACTAATTTCTTTCAAAATAATTGATTTGTTAGGCTGCAAACAAGTGTAGATGAAAGAGCCATTCAGGAACAAGACAGGCCAGTGGATTTACATGCAGCAAAATTCAGAAATTTAATTGGTTGGATTTTATATATTCCACACTGCAGTTAGTTTTAAGAAAATAGCCAATGTCTGGAGTTCTGGTGTAATATTGAAAAACCAGTAGGTGAAGGTACTTGCCATCAAGCCTCACTACCTGAGTTTGGTCCCCAGGTCCCACATTGTGCACGGAAAGAATTGACTTCATAGAGTTGCCCTCTGACCTCTACAATGTGTGCTGTGGCACAAGTGTGCATGCATACACATGTACACACACACACACACACACACACGATAAATGTGATTAAAAGAAAGAAAAGCAGTAACCACAATTATCATAAACACTTTCTATTTTAGTCACATCTTCTCGACCACAGCAGTGCATGATGACAGATGACGCAGTCACATGTCCGAATCTTGCCGTGCTCTGTTCTACCAGACAGACATTAAGACTTGCAGAAATATGAGAGTTCTACTTCTCTCAGTGTTTTATTTTGTCAAATATAGTTATTTTTCATAAAATTTGTTACTATGTAATAGTTGTTGCTATTCTATTTTAAACATTTCTGTCTTCTTTAATACAGTATTGGTAATTGAATATATGCATATATATTTAAGGTTTATTAGTATTGTGCGTGCATGTGTGTGCCATGGCTCATGCGTGGAGGTCAGAAGACAACTGTGTGGAGTGGTTCTCTCCTACCTTTACAACAGTTCTCCACAGGCTTGTGTGGCAGATGCCTCTACCCACTGAGCCATCTTACCAGCCTTCATTGCTGATAAATATTTATAGATATAATCCACATTCATAAAACCTTCTTGAGGGCTGGAGAGATGGCTCAGCAGTGAACAGCAGTGACTGCTCTTATAGAGGTTCTGGGTTCGATTCCCAGCACCCACATGGCAACTAACCAACCATTCGTAACTCCAGTTGCAGAGGATCCGATGCCCTCTTCTGACCTCTGTGGGCACTGTACCACACAGGTGTGCTTAACACATGCAGGCAACACACTCACACACATAAAGTAAAAATTTAAAAAAGCTGGTTGGAGTCTTCAGCCACTTTTAAGGGTGTGAAGGGAGATCACAAGACCAGAGAGCTGTGGTCCATCGCACTTTGTGCCTATTATCTTGAAGTCAGTTACATGACACGGAAATACTGCAGACTGCTCAGCACCACCTACTACTGTTGATTTTCCACCTGAAAACTGAGGTATAAACACAGTTGAGTTTTTACTCAGAGCCTTCAGAAGAGGCCCAAACAAAAATTTCTAAATCTTCAGTCGTTTCGAAGAACAACTTGAGTGGCAAGCGTTTCCAGATAGGGACGTTTCCCCGAAGGCTGGCGTCTGCCGTGCCTGTTTACCCTCATGACGTCAGCGCAGGGTGGAGCAAGGTCCCCTTGCTGTCCACACACGCTCTGTTTCTTGTGGAAGTTTTGTAGAGTAAGTACATTGTTAAGGATCGTCCTGCCGGCCACAGAGTGCCAAGAGCTGGGATTCAGGTACGGTTTGGGTCTTGTTCCCGTCGTCCCCACCCCCCCCCATCGTAATGCTGTTGTTTACTGCAGCTGTGTGTGCAAACAGCAGTTCTATCACCAGTTTACAAGTTCTTCTGGTGAAGTTTCTTTTGATCAAGGCTAGATAAGGACTTGAATTCAGTGTCTGTTTGGTGATTAAGGCAAGGAGAGGGTCATCCAGAGTAACAGTGCAAAAGTGAAGGAGCTGGAAGACACAACTGGACCCTGACTTCCGCTGTAAATTACGGCCACCCCGTTGAACTGGTCAACAGAAGAGTGAGTGATTGGCGTGTTTGCCTGCCTTTGGCTGATGCTCAGTTTACTGTTTTCTCTTGTGGTCCCTCCAGGCCTCTCGGGCGACAGCGAGCTCCTGTCCCTCACCGTTGATGCGGATTCTCTTGCCGACTTAGATGATGAAATGGCTTCCCATCAAAGTTCTCCCAGTAGAACTTTTGGTCTGAGTCTCTCTTCGGATTCTTCGGCAGTTGGGGCTGCTGCTTCCGACAGTGAACCGAGCAAAACGGAAGAACGGGAAAGTCGTGGCCTCTTTCCCAGCAGTTTAAAACCTAGGCTTGGCAAGAAAGATTACCTGGAAAAAGCAGGAGAATTAATAAAATTGGCTTTAAAGAAAGAAGAGGAAGATGACTATGAAGCTGCTTCTGACTTCTACAGGAAAGGTGTGGATCTGCTCCTGGAAGGGGTGCAAGGTACGGTTTTGCTTGTGTCCATACATTTGGGCAAGCTCTTATGTGGGCGTCTGGAAAACCAAAGTATGTGCACGTGCCTTTACCTTCTGTATAAGCCATGTGTAAACAAGCCTGAAAGTGAGAACTTGCAGGACATCATCGCAGGCGTGTAGCGCTCTGATCAGTGAATGTACAAAGTTGGTTCTTCGAAAAAGTCAGCATCCCCGAATTGTAGGAGTAGGAACCTTCCTCTTGACTGCAGTTCTCACTGAGTGCTCACGGGGACTCACTCTCAGTGGTCTGGGGAGACAAAAATTGACTTTTAAAGTAAGCATGCCTTCTACTCTTCCTTGTTCCCTGTGGTGACTGGTGTGGTTCATGTTGGTGATGTGGGCGATACAGACCCCGTAACTCAGTGTCTGTAAGTAGAGCTTGCTTTCTTAAAGCATCAGACTTTATTTTATACTTTTCCTTGTAGAAGCAGAACAAAGTGTTCTGTAGTTAGAGACATGGCTTCTTGGCTAGTCAGAGGTGGGTGTGGCTTCTGCCCAGGGGTTCTCAGACAGTTGTTTCTGTTGCTGTTCTTATCTGACTTGAGGATGCTGTGCAGGTCACCCAGCTCTGTGTCTGTCAGCACTTTGCCATGGTATTTTCTCTGAGCATGCCTGGTGGCCTGTTAGTCTAGAACCTTCTCTTTTCTACAGTGTGTTTCTCTTAACTGCTTCATAACCAGGATTTTACCACTTCTCCTGATTTTTAGCCTTTATTCCTGTTTTCACGGCTACCTAAGTGTCACCAAGCCCCTGACTCTGGAGACTTTGTTGGGCCATGTGAGTCTCTCAACTTCTCATCATCTTATCTTTTCTCTCAGTCTGTCCCTGTGGCTTTGCCCTAAACCAATTCTTTGGTTTCTGTGTTCGTGTTGTTTTAGGAGGGACTGTAGGTAAATAACTTTTCTATCCCCATTTTTTTCAAATTTTATTTTTATTTTGTGTCCCTGAGTATATCGCTTGCATGTATGTAAGTGCACTGTGTCATGCAATGCCTGTGGAAGTCAGAAGAGGAGGTCAGATCCCCTGGAACTGGAGTTAAAAACAGTCGTTAGCTGCCATGTGGATGTTGGGAACTGAATCTGGGTCCTCTGCAGGAGCAGTCAGTGCTGTAACTGCTGAGCCATCTCTCTACCTTCTATTTTCATCTTTTACTGAAAGCTCAGATTTCATGATTGCTGCTGTTTCAGTGGGCCTGGGGATCAGAAAGCTGTTACTGTTTTGTGTATGTAGGAGTAAAAGGCATCGGAATCTTGTTTTTTAGTGTTTGGTTGGTGGTTCTTCCCTTGCTGAAGTTGCTGATATATTCACGTGGACTGTTAACACAGATTCAAATAGCTGATTTGAGGTCATTTTCATCCCAGGAAATTTGTCATTATATAATTTTAGCTGTAAACTTCAGTATTTCTAATTGAGAAACAAGTTCTGAAGTCCTTTGTTCCCATATTTTGACTGATAGATGATTTTGGACCTAACCTTATTTTTCAGGTGATTTCATACTCTGTTAGGTGTTCATTTGTGGAGTACTCTGCCTGAGAGATGTATTCATCTTTGTTCTTTCTGTAACAACTTTCTTGAGTTGGGGGTTCACAGTGGGAATACATTGTAGAGTGTCTGCTCTGATCGTCCTGCTTCCTTCCACAGATAATTTACTAAATTGCTGAAACATCATTGGCATTTAGTTACCACAGATGAGTCACATCATGTGACATCTTTCTGTCTAAAAGTTATTTGCATGTAATCTCAGGACACTTCATAACGTTGCCACTTGATGGCACCAGAAAAGTAAAAATTGTTCCTTTGAAATGAGAATTCTAAGTACACATTAGCAGATAACAGAGACGTCTCAGTCAGTTGTTTTACTTTAATGCTTATGGTGGAGAGTTGTCTCTCCTGTAGAACTTGGTGCAAAGCCTGTTAAACTTCTGTCTACACTGATGAGTTTGTAGAGTGAGGGCCCTAGCTCATTTGAGTGTAACTCTCTTTTCCTGTGTGTGTCTTCCTGAAGCCACGTTGTCCTGCTCTGGCTTGCGACTCATTGGTAGGTGCCGTCCGGAAGTTGGTAGTTGGCTTTCTGCTTTTAGTGTCTTATTCTTTATTCATAGAGCAGTCAGTTTTGTTCATAATGTGGTAAGTTTTATTTACACAAACTGTGAGTACAATAGTTATACAATCACATATTTTTCTATTTTTTTCATGCATCTGCCATCTATAAAATTCCAATTTTTAGAAACATTTACTTATTTTTATTTTATATGCTTGAGTGTTTTGCCTGCATGTTTGTGTGTGCACCATGTGTGTGGAGTGCCGCCAGTGGCCACAAGAGGGCATCTGATCCCCTGGAACTGGAGTTACCGACAGCTGTGAACTGCCATGTGGGTTCTGGGAACCACACTCAGGTCCTCTATAAGAGCAACCAGTGCTCTTGACTGCCGAACCATCCTCCTAACCCCAGGAATTCTAATTTTTTACTGATATATGAAATATGTGTTTCAGTCTTTACAGTTTTGCATGTGACAGTCTACAAATGTAACATTAGAGCAGTGTGTACAGTCTGTGGACCCTGGAAAAGTAGACACTACCTAACAGACCTATGGGCATCGGCCTTGAATTTGCGGAGTTGGGGGCCCTGGCTTGTGGCTTGGTTTGACATTTGTGCCAGGAAAGATGCTCCCTTGGGTAGGGTGTATTCTGTGTGACAGCGCTTTAGCTGAAGCACCATTGGAGTCCATGACACCTACACATGAGGAATTTCAGCTTAGCTCTTTCTATGACAGTTGTTCTCGTGACCTTGATTTGAATCTGTAATGCTTTCTGATAAATAAGTCTGGACATCTGGTAATCCAGAGAAAACAGCCTTCAGAGCTATGTAGGAGAGCTTTATATAGAGTTTTGGGTTGGAAAAGCTTGCTTCCTATTAAACCGTTCATCCTACAGGAGTGTATGGGGCTTGTCTGTAGACTTGATATAGGTGCTTGGTGGTTTTCTTCCTAACTGGCATTTGCACAGCTGAAACTAGATGCATGCACAACAGCAGCTGACCCTGCCTATCAGTGAGAAGCAGGCTGTGCTGGGGCAGGGGTTGGGCTTTGCACTCTGACTAATTTAGGCCCTCAGCTTAGAGATAGTTCTGAGGAAGAAGGTGCCATTCACATTTCTAAACTCTCAGGTTTTTGTGATTTAAGAGAGAAAGTCAACAAGTCAGGGTCACAGGAATAGCCTTGAGTCTCTGAAGAAGACACACGGTTCTTACCATCCTTTTACGTCCACCTTTTTTCCATATTGTGGGAACTGGTGGTAAGTTAATTTGTGTCCTCAGTGATTGTTGTAGGTATGGTGATGCAGAGTCAAAAACCGATGGCATAACGGAATTAGTGAAACATTGAAACAGCACCAACATGTTATCTGTAAATACCTGTCATGGTACAAGTGTTTTTCTTCCGTTATTTTCAGACTTCTGAAAACCCCAAAGCTGATCTCTAGCAGGTTATACTGGGCTAGTGTAGGGACACTAACATTTTGAGCATGGAAACATTTTATATAATGATTCTAAATGCTTGGCATTTACTTAGCAAGAATAATTATTTAAAACAGGAAGGTAGCAGATGGTGAACATTGTTAGTTACACCCATCTGTGTCCGCATTACAAATCACAGAACTGATTTCAGAGCCGGTCTGCGTAGTGTGTTCCAGGTTCCAGAATGGCAGACTTGCTCCCTTCCTAATGTGGTCCTCATAACCCCCACCTACGGGTGGCCCGCGTAACCCCCAGGCGGAAGAAACTGAGACTCCGTGAATTATGCTGGTGTCAGGGACACGGCCAGTGAGAGCTGAGCTAGAATTTCAGATTTTAGGCTTTTTAAAACCTGAATTTTGTTTTTTGCTCTGTCCTGCGCTTTCGCCCACTTCTCTCCTAATTAGATGAGCTTTTCAGAATGGAGACACAGCAGATTTTCATTGTCAAGTGTTGACAGTTTTACTTTGAATATTATTTTTCCATCTCCCGTCATTTTTTTGTCTGTTCATTCAACCGTCTATCCATCCAGTTGATCATTGAACACACGTTTATTTATTACACGTATGCAGTAGGCATGGTGATAAGGAATGTAAAATATGTTTTCTTATGAAAATAGGAAATAATACTGAGTGATGGCCCCTTTAAATGATAGGCTCCTGCCAACCCTGAACCCATGTCTGTGATCTGCGACCATGTGGTATGCATCTCGGGTACAGGGCTTGGTAGATTTGCTCTTGGGCCACACCTGATTTCATAAAGTTCCTGCTCTTCCCTCCCTCTCCCATCTCCCTCTTTCATGTCCTCCTCTCTTCCCTCCCCTTTCTCCCCTCCTTCCCTTCTCCTCTTCTGTTTCCTTTGAAGTCTCTTGTGCACATTATGAAGGAGATTTGTAATGAAAAGACCTCCTGGTTATTGCTGATGTGTAGTTTGTGTTTGATCATTTTGTTTGTGCTTGTCCCCTGTGTGACAGATTCTAATGCTGATACTCAGCTTAGAGATGCAGCTTGCTCTCTGCCATTTTCATTATGGTAAAAACTGAACAGCAGTACCCAGCCTAGGCTCTTAGCGATGTCCAGATGTACCTCAAAGTCATGACCTGTGCATTCACTCTGTGTCTTACTGGGTTTTGGCTATTCTGTCTAGAAGAAACCATAAACTTATGTATACATCTAGGCTTCCATTGAGTCACTTGAATGAGCTCTAAATTAAGCCAGACTTTGAAGGGCTGGTTTTACAACATGTGTGGGCCCTATAAATATGGCCAGGCCCTGCATAGTCATGACCAAGTGCTAGACAGAACTGCTGGGATTGTTGATGATTCCTTTGAATGAGAGTTACTCAAATATCTGGAAACCCTGTGCACACTCATGTTTGTTTTAAACTGGATGGGCAGATGAGGAGCTTAGTAAGTTTTAGTTTGATAAAGGAAAACAAGTCATTTGGTACTGCACTGA